TCTGTGCACAACTCCCAAACGTGTCAGGCCTCCTCGCTGCCTGCTGAGACATATGGGCTACAGTAATAGTCAGTGGCACATAGGTTGTTCACATGGCACTTAACAGTTTACAAAGTTCTCCTTCATTTACTTTAATCCATCCTCACAATTTCCCTGTGAAACATTGTGAAGTAGTTATTACACCAGTTTATAGGAACAGAGGTTCAGAAATATGTGCTTTTCCCATTATACAATCATTAATAAACTAGTGCTTGAAGTCAAGTTTTCTGAAACCCAATGATATGTATACCACACCAGGGTCTCTCAAACTTGAGTAGTGAATATACCTTTACAAAAGGAAAAAATGATACTTCCCACAGACCATCCCTCAGAGGAGGAATCTAATTATTTTTATTATAATGTTTAAAAATAAATAACTAATATAGGCTATAACCATTTTATTATAATCTTTCTTAAATATGCTCAAACATACAACCAGGTAAACCTTATAGCTGTTACAGAATTATGATACTAAAATGAAAATAGATAAAAGTATATTTTAAATAAATTTAAAATACAAGTAAAAAAAATAAAATAAACTATAAAATTCATAGATTAAAATAATAGCATGGATTTGCTGTATTGGATGATGCCTTGCTGAGCTTGAGTCCCTGCTCCCTGAGTGAGGAGCCTGCAGGCCCAGCACCATCCTTCCAGCCATCGCTGCACTGCGGTGTGCCCAGTGAACGCACTCCTCCCACCCCTTCCCTGACTCTCGACTGCTGCAAAATCCTCACTTGGAGCAAATGAATTATTTATTAATCGAGCCTCCATATCTTGAAATCAACTTAATTATAAATATGGATTCTGAAGATAATGACAGCCCTCTGTTATAGGAAGGTCATAGGTATCCAAGATATGTTTGACTTTTAAAAAAGATCATCATCTCACAACACAAAGTTTTAAAACACAGATAACTTGCAGGCCCGAGGATATAGCTGCAATTCTTAGCATTCCTTCAACCCCAGTATTTAGGAGTTGGATCGTTACAGATACCTTGATTGATCCCAACAAGTTGGTGCTCCCTTGGGGACCTCTGTGGCATCATAAGCAGAGCCAGGCACACATGCTTGTGGGACATAATACAATGTTCATATGAATTCAGCGTTTTACAGCTTACAAAGAGTGAACCACATTATCTTACTGTATCTTCCTAAGAACACTGTACACTAGATATTGTTATTACCACTGTATAAGTGAGGAAACATGTGTAATGAGGGTTGGGAAGTTAAGGTACTCATTTCAAAGCGAAATGTCAGTGCTCAGCACATGGACAAGTCTTGACTCCCAGTCCATGACACATCGTAGCTACTTCTCTGTTGATCTCTATAAAATCAACCAGACTTTTGGCCCCAGAGAAGGTGTTCTTCACAAGCTACATGAAGTCAGAATGACCAGGGCAAGTCCTGTGCTGCGTGTCTCTTCCTGCCTAACACCTATCAATTGCAAACTTCTAGACAGCCCTGACCCTGAGCACCTTACCTGGACCACTTACCTACCTCAGGTATCTTTTGGAAAGAGTCTGAAATAAATAAATTCACATCCTGCTTTTGGCCTCATGGTTTGTCTTGATCAAAGGAAGGCTACAGGACTAAAATATAACCTCCATGTTTCTTCCTGGTCAGAGTTCTTTCAAATGCATAACATCTGTAGAGCCATCCAGTAGCCTATAAACACATCTTTCTGTGTTTTCTCCATTTGCAAGGCAATCACGGCAATGTCTAATATACTAGCTACCAGTCACATCACTACTTACCTACATTTGAATTTAAGTTAATTAAAATTAAATACAATTTTAAATTCTGTTTCTTAGTCACATTAGCCACCTTTCAAGTGCTCAATAGCTATGTGTGTCTAGTGGCTACCACATTCAACAGCAAAGACACAGAACTTTCATCACAGAAAGTTCTGTTGGATAGTATTGTCCTAGACCCTATCTATGCAAATTAATTATCTGAAACATCAAGGTATATAGTTCTGACCTCCAGAAAGCTCAGGCTCTTGTACACATAATGCTCCCCTGGGCCTTTTGACAGGTCTGCGATGGAGTGGAGGTGGGGATTACTAGTTACAGCATTGAAGCAGGACTAGGAAGAACCAGAAGACTGACCAAAACTCACACCCCATGCTGACAGCCACAGCCATGCTGCTGGTTCCCTTCTCTCTGTGGCGTGTGGTTTGCCCACCAGAACACTCCTTCATTCGCTGGGCCGCCCTTCCTGTCCAGTCAACACTGATGGGATCTGTATGAACCTAATTGTGTGATGATTCACTGGAACTCCAGTGTGGTGGAGAAGGGACAAGTCATGATACAAAATTGCACAGTAAAGTTGTGTCCACTCATGAAGATCATTTACGTCAAAGTTCCATGACTCAAATTTCTCATACCTGTTCAATATAGTTCTTTGGATTATAGATCAGACTCTACATGCCCAGGCTTAGGATGTGGAGTGGTAAGGGGTAAGGAATTAATAAGTTTATTTCTCCCTGAACTCTCATCATTCAATGATTCCCCTTTTATTCTCCTCTCCTCCTGAAGGAATTCAAGAGGGGATTCAAGACAGCCTAAGGTCTCTTCCTGTCTGTATTTAGTGGTCCCCTACCTCAACCTCCCATGTGATTCTTCCCTATAGATTTCTAGAAAGACATAATGAAAGGAAAAAAGTATAATCAACCCCTACTATGAAAGAGAGAGAGACCATCAGTCAGAGACAGATACCATCCCTAGGTACCAGCTTGGCTCAGGTTTAGAGTCTGAGCAACATGGTCCAGTAAACATACAATGGAAGCCACATATGCAATTTTATATTTTCCAGTAGTTCACATTAAGAGAGTAAAAAGAAACAGGGGAAATCAATTTTAATAATATATTTTATTTAACCCAAAATAGCCAAAATATTGTCATTTTGACATGTAATCAATATTTTAAGTGACTGATGTGATCATTCACATTCTTATTATTCACACTAAGTCTTCAAACCCTGATGTGTATTTTACACTCACAACACATCTGCCTTGCTCATAGCTGCATGTGGAGAGTGGCTATTGGCCTGGATTGACCCCAGGAATCTGGCTTTGACAGGATTGCCTCCTCTGGTTCTCCAAGGAAAATCTAGCTCATTGAATTCCACTTTAAAATTTATTTTCGTTGAATTCAATCTTATTTTAGTCACCTGTCCCACTTACGACATCTCTGGGTCCTTCTGTGTTTTTATCAACTCCAAATGGTATTTGTAAATGTTTCCAGTTGCCACAATCATGTTCAATAACACCCAACTCTCAGTCTACCTCGACCCAATATGTGTCTCCATCAAAGCAAAACAACACTCCCTTTTCGTCATCCCATCTTCATTCATTTCCTGTCCGTGAATTGTGTTCTACTACCAACAAATTTGCACTAGTTTTGCAAGAAAAGTGCTGTGTACTGACTGCCATGGCAAATAACAGTGTTGTCCATGTGTCTCTCTTTCTTCCAAACAAATTGGCACTCTGGACAGATTTCAGCTCATTGCTCCTAACGACAGACCTGTTTGGTTGAAAAGTGAGGACATAAAAATAAAAATCCAAGGAGGAATAGGAGTTCAATTGTCTTCTTGCTCAACCAGCCTGATTCCAGGGAGCAGAGCAATGCGTTATTGTAACGGTTGGCAGGAGACAGCTTTGCTTCGCATTCTCTCTCGGTTCCTGTGCCCGTGAAAGAAAATCACTCACCTGTAAGCCAGCCTCCCTCCTCGTTTCTCTGAGAGACAGTGGGAGGATAAAAGCCTAAATGCCACCTGAACAGAAGTGAGCAGCTCCGATGCCACCCAACCCCAGCACGAAGAGGCCAGGACTGAATGTAAGCGTTCAGAGAAGATAGCGTGGGGTGTACATTTTTAGAAACTATCGCACTCATTTTATATTTTTTCCTAGGAAGAGTCCTTGTTTTAAAAATCTAGGTTTTCCTTTTAGTGGGAAACAGATGCTTTCTTCAAAGTTCGGTGTTGGATTGACAGAGAAAACGTGGGTCACTGCCCAAGGTCACGCAGGCCCCTCGGTGAGCACGCACCGTTTCCGTGGCTCCCCCAGTGCTTGGCTGGAAGAGGCTGAAGCCCCCACACAGCCCATCGCTATACGCTGAGTAGGTCCAACAAGAGGAGACTTGAATCGCTGCCCAGAGAATAGAACCTGAAGTCTCGTTGGTTCCCTTGGTACCAGGGTCTTCCTTGTGAGGTTTTAGCTCCCGACTTTGTTTTCTGCAAGTTCCTTGGATAAAAACCTGCTCTCACCAGACCAGCCCCTCTGGTCCCCATCCTCCTGGGCCAGTTCACCACAGGTATGCCTATGCTGACCACCTCCGCCAAACTGGCATATCTCCCCACAGGCCTGGGTCTTACTTCCTTACCCCTTACCACCTTTCCATGGGAATGTTATCTCCCCACTTAACGGAAGTTCTCAAAGGGCTGAGACTCAAGACCATGGTTTAGTCATCCTCCTTTCTCCCCTCAGAAGCTGGGACCGAGCTTTAATCCTAAAATGCCTTGAATGTGTGACTGTTGATGGAAAGGACAGTGAGAAATGAGAAGAATGTGGCTTTACAATCACACTGTCATCATCATCCCCCACAAAACCCCGTCACCTGAGCCCCCGCCCAGTGCTGTTAGGAGGAACACGTTGTCCAGAGCCACAGAATTGGCTAAAACTGCCAGACCCAAAATCAAGTCACACTGTTTTCAACATCGCATTCATAATCAAGACTCAAGCTGCTCACCCTGGTCTGCCACAATGGAGTGGAAGGGAAGGGGAGAGGAAATGCAGACAGAGATGAGGATGGCAATCATTCACACACACACACACACACACACACACACACACACACTCACACACACACACACACACACACACACACACACACAGCAGTGATGGAGAGTGCAGACCCTACACATAGTCAGGCTGTGTCTCCCAGAAGATGCCCCTCGCCGCTAACCAGTCTCTGCTGGGAAGCTGATGTCGCCGAGGCTTTTGTAGCTCAGGACGTTGAAGTAGTCGTGCGGCTCGTCATAGTCATCGTCCCTCTGCTCTCTGCATGGGCCGGCAGCTGCAGCTTCTGTGAGGACGCAGCTTGCAGGGGAGGCCGGAACCCCGAGCCCCCATTCCTCCTGTCCACAGGGCCCTGTCCTGAGGCCACTTTCTGCAGAACGAATTCTGAGAAATTTCTTCTAAAAACAAACAAATGACAAGAGTATGTAGGGGTGACATTCAAAAGTTACTCCCCAACTGATACATAATTATAATGATCTCTCTTCCTTTCTTACACACACACACACACACACACACACACACACACGTGAAGTTGTATTCTGACCAACACCAATCTCTTGCCCTTACTTTCTCAGTTTTGTCACAGCTGGATTTCAGTACTAACCACTCCACCAAAACAAAACTTCTACACACGCAATGCACCTGTCACCATTCCTCCCTATTCACAAAGCCTAGTGAGGCAGCTTGCACCCCACTTCTCTCTTACTCTTTGTCACCCCAAACACTGATGACCTCTTCTTTTTTAAAATGCTCTCCTTCCCCAGCTTCCATGGCACCTCCTCCCTGGTTCTCCTCCTCCTCCCCTGAGCCCCACCTGCACCTTCAGCCAGCCCTGCTCTTTTTCCTGCTTGCACATCAGCTCCCCAATTAAAGGGGTTTCCCAGGGTCTGCCCTCTGCCTTCCCACATTCAACACTCTCTGAGACACTTCGTCTAAATGTACATCTACAACCACCCTCTTCCCTCTGAGGATTCCCAAATCTCCACCCACGGAAGTCCAGGCCTCTGCCCTGAACTCCAGGCTGAGATGCCCACTTGCTAACTGGGCATGGCCACCTGATGACCCACAGCAAGCTCAGGACCAGCCTGTCTCAGAGGAACCCAACATACTTCCTCCTCCACAGACGGCTCCGACCCCACAGTCCCTAACCTGGTTTACGGCACCAGCTGAGACCTGGAGGCCAATGTTAAACTCCAAGTGGCCATAAAATCCTATCCTAGAAAACTCTAAAACCTACTCCCTTTTCTATCCCTACTTTCATGTCCTGTCTCTGGCCTGTACTTCCACACTCGCCTGCCTCGAGAGCCCCTCTTACCTCTAGTCCAGCTTCCACATGGCCACCCACAAAGTGAGCTTTCAAAAATGAAAATTGGATCATGCCATGCTTCTGCTGACAACCCTTTAATGTCACTCATTGTCTACAGGAGACACAGGAGGAGTTTACAGGATTGACAAAACCACTTAAGTTGTGTAAAAAAACCTTGTCTGAGATGCATTCTTCAAGAGACTAGTGTGATGCTCTCAAAATGCCCTGTGTGACTTGGTCACCCTCACTTTCTCAGCTTCATGCCCCACCAACACCCCAAATTCTGGTACAGGGTCTGATGCCAGAGAGCTGCCCTGAGCATGGGCTGGGCTATCTTCTCATGTAACCTCACCAATACCCCTATCGAAGTCTTTGAATTAGCTCCGAGTCACAGACAGGTGCAGTCACTTGCCCAAGGACAAGTCCAATTCTGACTTGGGTTTGTCTGACCCCAGGCTCTATGCTCTTTCCCCTCGACCAAGCTGCCTCTCATCCTGTAGTTTCTAGAATGCCAGGCGCTGTGTCCTGACTCCCCGGTTTTATATATGTTACACCCATTGTCCACCCTCTGTAGTTCCCTGGAAAGGTTGTGTACTCCATCCTGCCGATGCAGCTCTGCAGCACGTTGTCCAAGGAGCCTTCTCCGACCCTCCCAGGGAGCTGCGTTCTCCCCTGCACTGGGATGCGCTCCTGGATGTTCCCTGTTGTGACACTGAATCCTGTCTTCTCCAGACTGTGAGCTCCCTGGGGGAAGAGGCTATGTCTGTTTAACCTCAGAGCCCATAACAGATGCTCAGTATATGTTGAAGGACTGAAATGCGCATGTAGGCATGCACACACAGGCACACACATACACGCTCCCGCACATGCGTGCGCGCACACATTTTTACACAGCCCCATACCTAAAAGAACTGGATTTTCTGAATCTAAGTAGGGACTCATGGTCAGACAACCACAGTTGCACTTGTGGGGCAATAGGCCAGAACAGTGAAATATGTTGGGGAAACCAAGGACCTGAAGTCAGCCATCACATCCATATGAGAGCAGCATCGGTGAGGGCTGAGCTAAGGCAAGGAATCAAAACACAGTGGGCAGCCCTAGCTGGTTTGGCTCAGTGGATTGAGCATTGGCCTGCGGACTGAAGGGTGCCAGGTTCGGTCCTTGTCAAGGGAACATGCCCAGGTTGCAGGCTCAATCCCCACTAGGGGGCATGCAGGAGGCAGCCAAGCAATGATTCTTTCTCATCATTGGTATTTCTCTCTTGCTTCCAGCATAGGAAACAGAAGCACCGTTACTGGTAGCGTCAAGCTCTGAGGTGCACAAATACATGCAGGGGACTGCGCAGGAGAGTGGATAGGGCCACATGGAGGCTCACTGGAAACAAACATGGAAGAGCAAAGTGACGCACAACTGCAGGCCCTGAGGAGCTGGGCCTGGAGAGAGGCCATAGTCTCAGAAGCACACACAGGAAGTCTCTCACCACGTACTATTCCATTCATTCCTTTTCAGGAGGAGTGGCTGCACCTTATCTACCAAAAGTATGAAGAAAGGGGGCAGTTATCATAGGTGGACGCTGACGCTGGGCTTAACAGAAGTGCTGCGTCCCTTGGCCCAACCCCACCCATTTGGAAGCATGGATGCCCAACTCATCCTCAAAGGAATGGTGTGATCTTCCATGCAGTTGTGCTCTTGCTCCCTCTCTTGGCCTGGCCCCCCTTGCCTTTGAACCTTAGGACTCTTCTGGCTTCCAGAGTCCTCTGGGAATTGGAGATATGCCTGAGGTGGGTCTCTCGCTGTTCCGTTTGCATTGCATCCTGCATGGGGGACTCTGTAACTGTGATCTGTGCGGAAAAATAGTTTGGGATCAAGGCACTGACGTTCTGAAGGATCAAAGGCAGCTACTGGGATTGCAGCTGGGGCTGCAGGACAAACACTGCCCCCCGTGGAACCTGAGGAGAAGGACAGCGCGTGGCAGTCATGGTCCTGGTGCGGACACACCGTCTCTTCTGTGCTTCTCAGAAGGTCCCCTGGGACACTCTGCCAACAGCTGCCTGGCAGATAACAATCATTCATTTGGTCTAGTTCAGTGATGGCGAAACTTTTGAGCTCAGTGTGTCAGCATTTTGAAAAACCCTAACTTAACTCTAGTGCCGTGTCACATATAGAAATTTTTTGATATTTGCAACCATAGTAAAACAAAGACTTATATTTTTGATATTTATTTTATATATTTAAATGCCATTTAACAAAGAAAAATCAACCAAAAAAATGAGTTCGCGTGTCACCTCTGACACGCGTGTCATAGGTTCGCCATCACTGGTCTAGTTGATCCATGGGATACAAATATTTATTGAGCACCAAGTATTATGAGGTGCTGTGATAAATAAAGTGCATAATGATCAGAACATATACTTATAAGAATAATGGTTATTATTGTATGCCAGGAAAAATGCCCAAGTGGCTTACTTGAATTATTTGACTTAAATTTTCTCGCAACCCCACGAAGGCAGCACCGTACTTATTTCTGATTTACAGATGAGAAAGCTGAGGCTCAGCAAAGTCAGGTGACATAGCTGCTCACATGGTCGAGCCAGGATTCTAACCCAGGCCGGTCTGATTCCAACGCCATATTCCTCGAGACTGCAATCTGCTGGCTCTCGGGGTCTGTGGGGAGCACTCTTGGTGCCCCCTCAGATCCTCAGTACCTGACCTGTGCTCCCACTCCCCAGTCCTGGGCGTATAGGCTGTGAGCGGCTCACAGCTGCCCCTTCTCTGCAGAATTGCTCTTGGACCCTCCCTGCTGAGCAGCCTGCAGTCAATGACTGAGGAAGGTGGGTTTTTAAAAGGCCAGCTCCCTGCCTTAGGATGCAACCAACTCTGCATACAAGACTCGCTTCAACCGAGTCTCCAGCCGAGACCACATCTTGGGGAGCGTTCTTCACCCATTCTGCTTCCTTCAGCACCTTCACCTGAGAGCTCGTGCAGGTAAATCCCTGTCGCCAGAATCCACGAGTCAGGCCCTAGTTCCTGGACCTGCTCTAAAACAGTTGTCCTGGGAACGGCCCTGGATGGAATGTGGAAGGAGAGCCCTCACCACTGGATGGGAACAGGGACCCCACCGCGGGGGGGGGCGGGGGGGGAGGGAAATGGAGGGGACACAGATGGAGGGGGTTGTGAGCTGATGCCGCGGCTCTGACATTGGAGAAGTGCAGGGTAAGCAGTGATTATGAGGACTGTGGGGTTGGGTGGCTTTTGCTAAACCCTCTGCTGCACGAAAGAGAAAGGGAGACAGATCTGTCAGCAACTGAAAGCAAAGTGAGAGTCAGAGGTCCTCCCGAGGGCAGCATTTACAGAGCATCCTCCCCACTGCAGGCCCGGGAGAGGGAACTTCTGGGGGGGCGGGGGGCTGGGGGCAGGGAGGCAAAGCGAGGAGGGAGAACATATGTAATAATAGTGCCAACAATAAATTTTAAAAACAGGGACCGAACTTCAAAGAAGGCTTAGGCTTGGGCAAGTCGTATACCAGGGTCCTGATCTGAAAACAGTGTCCTCATCCTTTCCTTCTCATCCTGCAGGATCATGGGCAGCCGGGCACCACTGGAGGAGTTAACGCTAAATGGGCTGATGTACAACATCCCCCTCACAGAGCAGATGCCCAGATGCATCACAGCCAAAGCAGGTAACTCAAACCCCGGGGGATGGCCGAAGGGACAGGCAGGAACTAGGAGCTGCAGGTGACAGCGAGACTGGAGGGAGACAGGTCCAACCTCTCAGGCTCCCAGATAAGGGAGGCACAGAGGGAGAATGCAAACAACTTCCCCAACAGACTGAACAAGGACCACGAAAAAGGCACGAAGGGCAGTGGGGGATCCCGTCTACGTCTGTCTCTGGACAGAAGGAGAATCAGAAAGGGCCAGGGTGGCCGGCGTGGGGTCCAGAGTCTTACCTTTCTGGCCAACGTGACCACCGCGGTGGCCGCTGTGCAGATGACCACCAGCAACAGGACTCCCAGCAGCGGGATCAGGAACCCAGCGCTGTGCCCAGCCCCTAGCGGGAGGACAAAATAAGGGAAATGGACTGAGGCCAGAAGCAAAGGGCAACCATTTCCCAGGGAGGCCTGAGCTCAGGGCACAGAGGTGCGGGCTGGCCAGGCCTTTCTCCGGCCACAGACTGGACCACTAACCCAGCTGCTTGGACCACAGAAGGTCTGCCTGGCCCACCATGAGCCACTGACACGCAAGCCGTTGTGTACCTCACACATTTACACCAGAGCAGGCCATTGCTAACCCCCCTCCTTGACTCAACAGCCTCACTTTGGGAAATACTCAGGAAATAAAACAGATGGCAGCATCCAGAAAAAATGGAAAAGGAATATTTTATTTCATTAAACTTCATATCTATAATCATACTAGTAGGAAAATGTTAACTTAAAAATTAAAATAAAATTAATATTAAAGTGCAAAAAAAAAAAAGAGAAAAAGCACGTAACCTTTCACCTTAAGCCCATGACACTTATTCCTCCTGGGCGGTGAGACCTGGCGGGAGCAGGGTCCTGGCGCTGTGTCCTTTACTGTTTTCCTTCATTCATACCACAATTCTTTTTAAATACATATTTTATTGATTTCAGAGAAGAAGGGAGAGGGAGAGAGAGATAGAAGCGTCAATGATGAGAATCATTGATTGGCTGCCTCCTGCAGGCCCCCTACTGGGGATCGAGCCCGCAACCCAGGCATGCGCCCTGACCAGGAGTGGAACTGTGACCTCAACCACTGAGCCACGCCGGCCAGGCCCATACCACAAATATTTATCAAGCATCTGGCACATAACTGGTGCTTCATCAATGTTTGTAATATGAATTAAACATGAACAAGAGAATTTCTACGAACATAAAATGGAGCTGGAAGGAGGAAGAGGCAGGAAGGGAGTTTTGAAGAGATGATATTTTATCCAAGGAGCGTGTGAGAGAAACAGGACGGTTACCCCTGTGTGCTTGCTGCAGGGGGAGGTTTTCGGGCTGCTTCCCCACCTCCACCTCCGTCCCAGAAGGTGGGGGAACCCAGGTGCCGGGGAGAAAAGAGGAGGGCGTGGCAGAGGCCGCCCTCTTCCCTCTGATTCAGGGCTGCGATTGCCGGGAAGGTGGCCTAGGCATGCAGTCCCTGAGAACAAGGGCAGTGCCCAGTCCCCACACGGTACCAGGAGGGGTAGGAGAGGGAGCCCAAACCCCCAGCACGTGCTTCTCCTGCCCTGAGGATTCCATTCCCTGCTTTGGCCACAGGTCGGGGGAGGGGGCAGATGGGGAGCAGAGGGGCCATGGAGGGCAGTGGCAGGGGGCAGAGGGCTGAACACAGAACAGAAAAACAGGTAGGCTCTTGTCCACATGCATAATTGGCCTCTGTGGGAGCAAGCATTTGAAAAGCAACTTTAAGGTAACAGTTTCACAGATTTTGCCAACTCATAAAGCTTAATCTCTAACACAATCAGCAAATAGAAGTTCAGAGGGAACCAGAACACCTGTGTTAAAGTCAGCGCTAATGCTCTGAGCCACTGCAAGCCTCAGCTTCCACCTGCATCCGTCAGACAAGCAGTGCATTCATCACTGAGACGTACGTGGTGCTTCCCATGCACGTTCCAGGTGCCGAGCTGCTTGTGGTAAGTAATTCAATCCTGTCAGCACCTCACAAGGTCTGACAACCGCCTCCTTTCACAGAGGAGAAAACCAACGCACTGAGCGGCTACCTAATCCTGTCTGTGGTCACCAGCAGCACCGAGATTTGGACACCGGCTGCCTGGCATCAGCCTGAGCTCATAACCACTCCACTCCACTGTCTCTCAGATACGGTCAGAATCCTTTCCCACCGTCCCGACATCTGGTGCAAGTGTCCAGGTGGATAACAAATGTGAGATTATTTTGGAAGCTATGAAGCACGAACAAATGTAAATTATCGTAAACTTAAAAATAGAGCTATCATTGTGACCCAGCAATTCCACTTTGGGTATTTATCCAAAGACATTCAAAACACTAATTCAAAAAGACATAAGCACCCTTATGTTCACTGCAGCACTATTTTCAATAGCCAAGATGTGGAAGCAGCCTAAGTGTCCATGAATGCACACAGAAGGTGTGGTACACTGGCACAGTGCAATATTAATCAGCCATAAAGAAGAATGAAATCTTGCCTTTGTGACAACATGGATGGACCTAAAGGGTATTATGCTAAGTGAAATAAGTCAGACAAAGAAAGACAAATATCATATGATTTCACTTATATGTGGAATCTAAAAAGAAAAAAAAATTAATGAACAAAAAACTCATAGATACAGAGAATAAACTGATGGTTGCCAGTTGGGGGGATGAATGAAAAAGGGGGAGAGGTTAAGATGTAGGATTGCCAGATATAAAAACAGTCACAAGGATGTAAAGTGCAGCACAGGGAATATAGCTAATGATACTGTCATGACTGTGTATGATCCCAGGTGGGTACTAGACTTATCAGGGTGATCACTTTGTAAAGTACACAAATGCCTATCACCATTTTGTTCACCTGAAACTGATATAATATTGCATGTCAACTGTAATTTTAAAAAAATCAAAAACCTTTCTAAAATGCAAATTATTGTACATTTACACTTAGCACACAGCTTTGTTTCTAACCAGCTCTAATCCCTTATAAATTTAGGAGCTAATTCTAACCTGCACGATCCATGCTAACCTCATAAATGAGAATGTTTTCTAGATGACCATATCTATATATATAAAAGCCTAAGCAACCATTACAACTAGACAACTGATGACCGGACAACCAGCTATGATGTGCACTGACCACCAGGGGGCAGATGCTCAATGCAGAAGCTGCCCCCTGGTGGTCAGTGTGCTCCCACAACCAACCTCCCCCTGGCTGGCCAGCCATGATCAGCCCTGGGACTGGGTGAGATGGCCCCAATCTGCCCTGATTTCTGGCCAGGTTGAGGGACCCCACCCATGCACGAATTCATGCACCAGGTCTCTAGTCAATACATATACACAAAATGTCCTTTCTATACCCAAAAGTGTGGTTATCAATGTTGCCTGCTCATTGGAATCACAAGGGATGCTTGTAGCACCTATCAGGTCCTGGCTCCACTCCTAGAGATTCCTCCTGAATTGTTCTGGGATGAGCGCTGACACCAACATTATTTAAAAGCCCCAGGTGATGTGAGTGTGAGCAGGTTGGGTGGCCCTCCTCCAGTGCACATGGCAGGGATGCATTTTCCATCCTAGAGGATGAGGTTTGTCCTCTGCTCTGCTCCCGAGGACATACCTGAGCTTCGTAGGACCTCCAGGAAGAATCTCCCTCTGTAAATGCCATCAGGGAAGGTGTGATAGACACAGGAGTACACCCCTGTGTCGTTCGTAGTCAGGGACTGCAGGGTGAGGCCCAGGTTGGGGTGGGGGACCACTCGCTCCCTGAAAGCCGGGTAGATGGACCACCCGGACTCCGCGTGATGAATGGCCAGAAATTGGTCCTGCTGCTTCCAGTCGACCTGAGTCACCGTGGCTGTGGTGAAGGACAGGTGACATTGTAAGGTGACAGAGCCACCTTCCTCTGCAGAAATGTTCCCCACGGTCACTATTCTGCCTGCCACGGCTCCTGGGGAAGGGAGAACGCGTGCGTGAGTCCCGGTCAGCAGCTGGCCCGATCCTTCCCATAGAAATCCCAAGGGGCTTTGTGACCAGGACTGGCTTTTGGAATGGTCGTCTCTCCGGTCCACCTGTCACTCCGCCCGCCCGGGAGATGGAGCACATCCGAGGTGCTCTGCTGTGATACAGCGTCATGACCAGCGCATGGGTGATTTTCAGCTGCTTACTTTACAATATAAACCCTGGCAGCCACTGCTTCTGTTTTATTCTATCTTCCAGCAGCCCAGGGCTGGGCTGGACACATTACCCTTTAAAATAAAACCTGGCTGTTTGGTTGGTTGCCATTGGGGTGCCTGGAAAACCCTTCAGGAAAGCCATGAACGCCAAAGGGAAGGAGCGTTGGTGAGAAACTGGGCCTCCACGCAAAACCACCCTTTTGGCACTTACCACCCTCGGGTGGCTCAGAAAGCAAAACAAAAACCAACGCTGCCGTTTTTAAACATTTGTGCTCCCTTTTAATGCAGAAGGACATAGATTTAACGTGAATTCAATCTAAAATGTTAGGATCTCTAGAATCTGTTAAGAAAACATGTTGATCCATAGAAGAAAGGACGAAGGGGCAGGAGTGAACTTCTTTAAGTAAATGGATCACCCCCTGCTTAATCCCTTCTCTCCCCCTTCTTCCTTTCTGGGGTTGGCCAGTCAGGCTACCCCCCGGCCCCCTCCTTCATCTGCCGCCCAGAACAGACCTGTGCCTTCTTCTCAGGGGAGAAAAGTAGGACGCAGGGCTCTGAACACTGTGGTTTCCTTCCCAACCGATAGAGCATTCACTCCCTGCCTCCCCTTCCCGCCTCCCGGCTCTCCCTCTTCCTCGGGTTCTAGGCTGGAGTTTCAGTCCCTACCTGACGCCAGGAGGGGAGCCTGCCTCAGCCCCTGAGCCCAGATCAGGAGGAGACACCACTGCATGCTTCTGCCCAGGGGGCCTCAGGAAGCAGATGTGGCCTCCTCTGCCACAGAAACTGGCCGAGTGCAGCTGGCAAGGCGAAACTGAGCCTGTGAGCAGAGAGGGTCTCGGAAAAACCGAGTTCAGCAAAACCAAAGACAGATGCGGTTCTCAACAAGCACACAAACTGCACAGCGAGCCACAAGAAAGGCCGTGAAGGAAACACATTAAAAAAATAAGCGGCGATATGGTGAGCGGTACACTGCACTGGTCTTTGGATACTGTTAGTCAATCTACTCATTTAAATTCTCTTACTGAGCTTTTTTTTTTTTAAATCAGCCTTTATTTAACAAGCTCAGGGCATCAGTGTCATGCCCAGGCTTTATAGAACCTGTTACCAATGGGGTTCCCTGACTTCATCCTACTAAAGAATGTGCAGAACTAAGAGAAACTTAAGAGTGTGCACTCTCAGGCCAGGCGCTCTGAGCCAGTGAGCAAGAGGCAGTGGCTACGGAGACAAGACCTGGGTGGGACAAAGTCTTGGACAAATACAGCCACACTTTCCTTGAATGAGGTCCTCTCCTTGAATCTTGTATCTTCTTTCTTGTTTATCTGGACTGAGACTTTGTTGAATTCTGGCTTAATCTCTCTGACCCGTATTATCAGAGGAGACCAGAAAAGTGAGTTTTCTCCTGCATGGCAACCCCATGAAAATCGGGAATGTCCGACCCTGTAAAGAAATCACGTGATCTTCGCTTGAAGCTCCAGTTCATTGACAAATCCTACTGTTGGCTCATCCTCCCTCCCACCGCCCGTCCCTCGCTTTCTCTCTCCCTCCCTCCCTTCATTTATTTGTAAGTCCCTGAGTCCCTACAAAGGACCAGACTCGACTGCAGGCTCTGGAGATATGAGACACATTAGTCAAAGCTTGCTCTCCAGCAAAGCCACACTCTGGGGAGAGGAGGTGGAGGGCCCACATTCACCTGCCCCCAGGGCTCACCGCTGCTCCTTTGGACACACTCCGTGGTGTATATACCGAAAATAGCTCCACCAAGAGGAGCATCTGAAGCCCTGTGCTCTGCCCTCTCCAGTCCAGCCAAGCACCCTGAGCTTCCACACCGTCCAGGCTCCTGTCCCCTTCTCCCCTGATGCTTCATCGCAGACCAGCTTCTTCCCCTCCCTGGGTTCTTCCGTGAGGGAAAGCCAAGAGCAGCCAGTGGGGCTGGAGCACTGAGAGGTGCATGCTGGGGTTTGGGCTATCATAAATGCACAGCCTGTGTTCCTGCAGTGGGGGTGATTGGAAACCATACAGGCAGGACCTGTCTTCGATGATGAGGAATCCAAAGAAATTTAGACTGGGTAAAAAAAAAATAGTTGAAGAATTGTTCCATTTGTTTCTAAGCAATCAGTCCAAAGAGGAACACAGTCGAGTCCATTCTGATGAATGATGCTCTCCAGAGACATTTGAGGTGATGAACAGACTGTAGGCTAAGAAATACCTGGGTCCAGATTCATCCTGGTTTGGGGACCTTGAGAAAGTTACTCAACTTCCTTAAGAGTCAGTTTCCTCATCTGCAGTGAGAAGAATAGCCTCCCCTCTCTGCCCTTCATAAGGTCCTTGGGGAGGTTCAGTGAACGGATGTTAGCTAGTGTTTAGCACAATGCCTGGAGCACAGGAAGGGCTCCACACATCAACGATAGTGTTGATAATAACAGCACTTAAGGAGGTAAAAGGGAAATCAGAGAAGAATATCTCTCTATCTATGTAATGTGTTTTGCCAGGAGTAAAACCCTGGTCTCTGGACTCCAAGTTCTCTACGCAACCTCTTCATTCTGTCATGTGCATCTGATATAAGACTATGAGGAGGAAATGCTCCTGCAGAAAAATGGACCAGCCAGACCCAGAGGAGGCCTGGGAGGAAGGCCAATGACCCAAGAGTCTCCCCAGGGAACCTCCCAGAGTCCCTTTTGGCGCCTCCCACTGGTGGACTCCACCTGGAAACCTGCAGGTGTGGCCACCTCAGCAGAGGCTGCACACAGCTCAGCAGCGCAGCTCCGAGGCACAGGTCTGGACTGGGAGCTCCCAGGGCCACCGGAGCCTTGGGGGCCAGCAGCAGCCTCAGTGGCACAGCATGAACCTCTGTGGTCAGTCATATTCTGACTCCCATTTCCACTTTAAAGTTCTAAAAGGAGCCACCTTAGTTTTTCTGCCCTTGTTTTTTTAAATATATATACTAGTAGCCCTGCGCATGAATCCGTGCGCCAGTAGTTCTCTGCGGGGCCTGGCCGCTCCTAGCCCACTGTCAAGAGGCTCCCTGTAGCCCATAGGCCCATCCACGCCCTGGCCTGGCCGGAGGCCCATCCGCAGACGCGGAACGCTTGCCTCGTCGCCGGGGCGATAACGCAGCATTCCCTCCCCCCCCCCACCCCCCCACCCCCCGCCACTCTGTGCCCGCTGCCCAGAGGCCCTCCGTGGCCAGGGTGGAATGCTTGCCTCATTGCAGCGGCGACAAAGCAAACATTCTGCCAGGCTACTCACACTGCCCACTCTCAGCGGCTGCCCCCCTGGGACTGGGGAACTCCGGCAGGACTGAGAGGACTGGGCGCTGCCATCTTGTGGCTATGGGCACCACCATCTTTGTGACAGAGTGATGGTTAATTTGCATATTACCCTTTTATTAGATAGGATATTACTATTGACAGTATTACATATGTCCCCCATCCCCCCCTTTGTCCCCATCTGCCCAGCTCTTACCCCGCCTAGGCCTTCATCACACTATTGTCTGTGCCATGGGCTATGCATGTAAGTATACAAGTTCTTTGGTCTATCTTTTCTCATTCCCCCACCCTGACATATGTCCATCTTCCCTCACTGTTGTGGTTGTGAGATGAACAGGTCTAGTTAGTCTTGAGGCAACTGGATGGGTGTGGGCACTGAGGAAGGGACTCCATTTGCATGTAAAGGGAAGAAGGGCTGGCCTGGGATGTAAAACACTCCCCAGCCCCCTCCAGTCCTTTCACAGCCCAGCCTTCCCTTGCCCTTTGAGCCCCATGTGAGCCTAGTCACTCTACCCTCTGCAAACCTGTGGCCTGACAGAGATCACAGAACTGTGAACAGAGCTGAAAGAGGTTGCACTTTCTATGAGACCTGTGACTTATGCACTGGAGACACTACCGAGCAAGCGTTCTCTCAGGGCACAGACCACTCTCTCAGCTGTGTCTTTAGTCTTCCCCCTGGCGGGGGGCTTCAGGGATATCAAGGCTTTCTTCCCCTCTTTTCCTGGCCTCTAACCCAGTGCATGTCCTGCAGCTGCAGGGCTGGTGACCTTCTCAGCCAAGGGCTCTCACTCTGTCTCGCAGCCCAACGCCTCCTGGTAGTTGGCTGTCTTGTGGCCAAGGGGGCACAAGGCCCCTGAGGCCCGCAGGTCTGCAGAGGCCTGTGGGAGCAGGGACAGGGGAGGGAAAGAGAGAACACAGCTGCCCAGGCGCCCAGGAGAGCGTGTCCTGTGTCCCCTCACCCCCATCTACCATTTGCCATAGCAAAGCCACCTCAGTGATGCCATCTGAGTAATGCGGGGGGGGAGGGGGGGGTTGAAAGCCCCTTGTGGAGAGAGCTGCCTCAGAAAATCAAAGACAGTGTGACAGGAATGTCTATCACCTGAAGCGTTTTTAAGTCTGTGAGCCACAGGGTTCGCTGGCTGTAACTGGCTCATGGTGAATGTATATGGGAGAACTTGGGGGTGGGATTGCTGACCATTAGCCCAAGCTCCCTCCAGTGAGGTGACTCCGAGGACCTCCCTGACAAAGGCTGCCAAGGACTTCAGTGGACTATGGGAAGTTTCCTTTGCCTTCCCAGCTGTGAAAATAGAGAGACACACCCCCCTCCCAGCAGAGGTTGGAATGCAGAGTCAGAAGAAGTCTTTGGGAAGAAGCCACTGATCTCTCCTGTACCTCCCTCATAGCCCTCCCACCCTCCCACATCACGCCTTGCTATCCCTCCCCCACCCTAGACGTGACTATACTATCAATCCAGCCCTAGTCCCGTCTGCTTTGAGAAAGTACCCTCCACCCCTGGAAACGTACTTGCTGCTTCCTACTCCCTAGAGTCCTCAGCATTGAGGACCACAAAGATTGGAATGGAAGTTCAAGTGAACGTATCAACCCATCAATGTTTCTCTCTCACATCAATGTCTCTCTCTCTCTCTCTCTCTCTCTCTCTCTCTCTCTCTCTCTCTCTTCCTGTCTAAAATCAACAAAAACATAGCCTCAGGAGAGGATTAAAATTAATAATGATATAAAACTATTTATAGCCCTAACCGGTTTGGCTCAGTGGATAGAGCGTCAGCTTGCAGACTGAAGGGTCCCAGGTTCGATTCGGGTCAAGGGCATGTACCTTGGTTGCGGGCACATCCCCAGTAGGGGGTGTGTAGGAGGCAGCTGATCGATGTTTCTCTCTCATAGATGTTTCTAACTTTCTATCCCTCTCCCTTCCTCTCTGTAAAAAAATCAATAAAATATATATATTTAAAAAAATAAAACTATTTCTAGTTGTTGATGCTTATATAACTGTAAAACCCAATGAATCAACTGGGGGAAAAACACACACACAAAAATAAAATTCTGCAAAATGTGCAGGATGTTCAAAGAACTGCTCAATCACCAAGTGCTCTCCCCACACCACCAAAAAGAGTGTCAGGCCTAGAAGGTTTCACAGGAGGACTATAACAAACCTTTAGAGGGCAGATAATTTCATTGTTAGTTAATATATACACACATAGGACATAAAGAAAACTTCCAAATTAGTTTCATGAAGTGAATTTCAAAATAATATAAACATTATTAGGATTGTATACAATTGAAGAAAATCAGATCCTAATCTCACAAATGTTGAGGGGGAAAATTCTATATAAAATATTGTCACATGGATTCCAATAGCATATTTAGCAAAATATGTAATAATGAGGTAGAATGTATTCCAGGATTGCAAGAATAATTCAAAACTAAGCAATCTATTAATATTAAA